TATATATATATATATATATATATATATACATATATATTTCCGGATTCTCGCTCGTGCATATTCAGTCGCCGAGTCGCAATTTACGGATTATTTACAAAGGACAGTAATAGTAGAGCGGTCGAAAATTGCTCGCTTCACGATGTTCAATATTACCGGTCCGATGTTGATGCCCACACGCATGCGGAAGTGATTAAAGCTGTGTTCATTGACATAGGCCAGCTGCTCGCGGATTCTCAGAGCGTAATCCGCCATAGCGACTACGTGCTTGAAATCCCGCATATCGCAGGTGCTTTTCGTTAGGCCTGAAGCAACAAGAGAGAGAGACAGGGGTGAACTTGGCGCGACGGCACGGCGCGACGACCGGTGTCCCGATCGGGTCCCGGCGGTGTTTCTATAATTTGAACTAACGAGTCCGCGTTGTTGGGAAGTTGTTAGGCAATTGCGTGAAAAGTCAAGTGGCCGTGAGAAATTAGATCTGCCTTCGTGGAGAATTGGCGAAATTCCGTTGCGAGAATTAAAAGGTCAAACTTTTTGCCTGAATCTAATTGCATTCGAAATACGATGATAACAAACGGATGAATTGAAAGTAAATTATCGAGATGCGCAATGACAAGATAAAATATTTCGTCTTGCTTTCGCAAATTTATTACACGAGTCAAATCGGATACAGAAAAGATAAAAATATTATATTAATTAATTAATTAAAATAATAAAATTAATATGTTAACCTTTAAACCACCACGTCCAAAAAAAATCACACTAACCACAATATCAGTCTGACAGACCGCTATTATGCTCCCGCTAATTTTATAAGTTAATTATACAGGATGTCTCGTATTCAATGGTACTCAATGGTACAGCGCTTGTGGGCAGGTAGTGAGCACCAAACAAAACAAAAAAGTCCTCTATCATTTTGCGATCTTTGCAATAGTTATCGAGATACTAATCATTTTAAAAAAAGAAAAAATTTTACATAATGGCCAAGTTTTTGCTTCACTATGATTCTATTGATCATTTTAATAACTTTAAGTCTGTTTTACGAAACTTAAAGTTATTTGGAAAGACAATGGCATTAAACTTTTGCTGCATATAATTTTGAATAATTTAAACGATTTATTAAAAAAATATTTTTGTCTCTATGTCTAATCAAATACTTAGCAATTTGTATGATCTCATATTTGTTTTTGGGCAACTTTTATTTGTTAAAATAATATTTTTGGTTTAGATAAGATGTACCTAATGTACGATACACTTGTACATACTTGACGTAAACTTTTTTTTAATGATTAGTATTTCGATAACTATTGCGAAGATCGCAAAATGGTAGAGGACTTTTTTCTTCAGTTGAGTCCACACTACCTCCCCACAAGCGCTGTACCATTGAGTACGAGACACCCTGTATAATTAAAATGTGTATGTTTTCTGAATACTTGTTGATGGGGATAAGGAAAAATATGTTTTAATGTGAGGGTTAACAAAAAAGTCTCGTATACAATATAGAAATAAAATAAGTATTTAAATGGTGAGAAATAAGAAAATTGTTGACAAGTAAAGTTTCAATAGCGGTCTGTGTGAGACCGATATAGTGGTTTAAAGGTTAATTAAACTAATTTTGGTCGGCTAAGCGATTGTACACGCAGTGTGCCGTCGCTCGTTTCTGCGAGCGTTATAAAAGCCAATAACACGGAAACGGCCTTCGGGGGCGAGTCAGAGGGACGTTATAGCGATGCGCCGCTAAGACTTCGCGGGAGAGACATACCCGAAGCGGCCATATACGTGGCGCCCGTACTCTTGATCTTCTCGATATACTTGAACTGCTCCTCGGCGAGTAACTCGTCGAAGTCAGCGATGATTTCGTTGAGGAGCCTGAGGCATTCCACGCCCTCGTTGTTCGCTTCGAGCTCCACGTAGAATTCCGAAAAATTCGGTATCGAGGCGAACATAATGCACACGCAGTCGCATTGCTCGTGGTATAATTCCTGCGAAACAATCGACGATGTCGTTGGACATGTTCCCCGTTCAGATGTCGAATTTCTTTTTACAAAACGAGATTCCAATATTTTACAAGACTCTTGTTTGCATAATCCTTTTTATAAAACAAAAAATCCAGGGTTGGGAAGTAACTCGTTACTTGTAACGAAGTTACAGTCACAGTTACTTGTTTTCAACTGTAACTTAATTTCGTTACTTTCTTTCCATGTTGTAACTTGTAACTGTAACTTAACTTATTGTTAGTTAGATTTTTTTAAGTAACTAGTAACTCATTTAATATTTACCTTTACAGTTTATTACTTTATATTGTATCAAATCGTCACTTTCATGGCTTAAAATTATATAACACCTTCAATCACCTAATCGTAATGTTGATTGTGTGTGTAATTATGCGAAATATTTAAATGCTCATATTTAAATACGCGCATTACTTTTCTTTTTTAAATAAAATTATATAATATGTAAATGTAAACTAGTCTTTTTTTATATAATGCTAATGTTGTTTTATTAAAAGTAACTGTAAAGTAACGATTCGTTACTTTTTGAGTAACTGTAACTGTAACATGTTACTTTTCAGAATCGGTAACTTGTAACGGTAACTAGTTTTTTTTTGAGAGACAAAAACTATAACTGTAACTAGTTACTTTTACAAAGTAACTTTCCTAATTCTGAAAAAAACTTATTTGTTAAAAATCAATAATCACAATCAAGTAGGCAATAGTTATTCACACGGTATTTGATGCGTAAAAACAATTTAATTTTCGTATATACAATTCTTCCAATGCGTCTGCTTAACAATTTTTCAATTTCGTACGTTTCGGCCTCATTCAGGCTTTCGTCAGCGATAATTTCAAAAATCTTTTGCATTAAAACGTTATTCCGCTAATCAACATCAATCTTATTTATCAGTCCGATTACTAAAGATTAAATAGCCGTTAATTAATTTTTTCAAATAGCAATTTTTCTAACCATTTTAATTTCGGTCTTCCATATAAGAAAACTTTTCACAATTTATTTTATTTATGTTATTTATTGTAATATTGTTTTTCTCTCTTATGTGATCATCATTTTATTCCCACTAATCCCATCAATATCTACGCTCCCTAGGGACTCACTTGTAACTATGTTATAAGCGCATACTAAACTACATAATGGACCTACGTATATGGACTTTTGTAAATCAAATAAGATGAGAATCGATCGCAGTACATCTTATCGGTTATTACCAGAAGATCTTACGATCATGAAGATGCAATCACAAGGGAGTTTTGCCATGCGTAATATGTGAGAGATTCTGAATTATAATTTATGTAACAATTTCTGTACTGCGCGTACGTGAATTTTAAATTGTAATTTATCGTTGTGGATGACCGTCCATTCGAGGTCGAAACGTCCGGAAAGCATTGTATATAACTTTATTTATTTATGTATCTAGTTAATAATATATATCTATTGGCAATATCATCTGGCCTCGGCTCTGTAGCTCTTTTTTTTATTCTGTTGATTTTTATTTTAATTATTTTATATATTGTGTGGAGATATAGATTTATTTCAAGCGAGTAACATGGAAATGGGTATATTTGATACTTAATTTGGCATATCAAATTTGGAATTGCTTTCAGATAAGACGGGCTAAATTAGGCAAATAGGTAAATTCAGTCTGGAGTCTAGAGATTGGACGGTTTAACACGTCGGCTGTCACGAGTTCTTAGTTTATGTATACAGTTTGGATGAAATTTTGAAACTCCAAAGGTAATCCTTAATTGAATTATAAATATGCGACATTGCCTAAGTGAGCTTTAGACAGCAGCTGAAGATTATTATATAAAATTGTTTTAGGATTTAGAATTAATATATTTGTGCGATTTAATTGGAAGAATGGAAAAGCGAAGCAAAAAGGAATGCCGCTTTCATGCAAATTTCGCTGACACGAAGTGTCGTTTCTGAGAAAGTTAAAATTCAATTAACTCTATTAAGATGAACTTTAAAATATAGAATACGACTCCGTTCTGTACATATATCCATTTTCTTGTAAATTGCTATTTAATCTATGGCCGTGTAACCTCATTAAGAAAATGTCAGAATGCATTATGAATGTTCCCTTTATGCCTACTGTATCTCACTTGTCACGTATGCAGGGCACAAAACAATAAACTAGTAATTAGGCCAAACATATAGACTCGTAGTCGATGAAATGTTTAAGTTGTTTCATTTGATATAAAAATGTAATAGATAATAATAGCGTTCGTTATACTTTAATGCTTAATGCAGTTAGAAAACTGTAAAATTATTGTAAGATATTGCAAGAGTTTGTTATACTAAGAAAAAAATTTGTCGAAAAACGCAAAATTTGTCTCATCTTACCAAAATATTTAATCCGATACGTTCAATTAAACGTTACTACGATGACACAAAATAATTTAAAAATAAATAAATATTGGCTATGAATCAGAGCTGGATATTTAATGCTCTAAGATTAATTAAAAATACATAATCATTTTTTTTCACAAAATAATTTGTTACTATTATAAACAAAATACTATTTTTTAACTAAACTATTTTGTTTCAGCACAAATTTATCGTATTTAGCTCAATCTTTTAATTAAAAATACACACTATTTATTATCCCTGTATATCAGCATTGTTTCATCAGTTTGATACTTGGAATTTGAACAAATATATTACTTGGATAACTAAATAGCATGCAAACAAAAATAAATACTACTAATATTTCGAACAAAATAATTTAATTGAATTGATTTAGTTAATTCTTGATTAAAAAATTTTGATGGTCGACATGAATAAAATATATACTTTTCTTTGTGCAAATAAAGAATTGTCAAATCAACCATTGGATCAGACAATTATACAAATTTAGTTCGCACAATCAATTTTTTTTCTCAGTGATAAATAGAGAACTTACGTCTGAATTGACGGTAGACAAAAAATGGGCGGCCACGTGTTCCGGAAGTATATTCGCGAGCAATTTCTGGTTGTAGGCCTTCAAGTGTTCCATTTCCTCCTTCTCCTCGGTCGCTTGCAACTTCCACAGGAAATCCAATCTGTATTGATACACAGTGCACGTCAATATTCTTCGTCTATATTCTGCCATGAAAAATATCTCAACAAATTGTATCACGTTTTTTTTTTCTTTCATGAAGTACATTGACATCTGCAACTCTCTCTCTCTCTCTCTCTCTCTCTCTCTCTCTCTCTCTCTGGAATTTCCGATGCGCCTACGCGCTGCGTGTAAGTACTTTTAACACAATTGTAATTGGCAGATTTTCATAAATCTGCGCACGTGCCGGCATGTACCTTCTCGGTGACGCATTTGCTTTAATTAGATTTCAAAATGTCAATATATTCATGATTTTCACGAAGTATCCCACGCGCGTATATAAATTTACTCGCGTCTCTCTCTCTCTCTCTCTCTCTCTCTCTAGTGTACGCGGCTTCTGTCTCGACTACGAAATTATTCTGCGGGAAATCAGTTCACGAGATCGTCGATCCGCGACATTGTTCGAGCTACAAGGGGATGAAGGCTCTCGTGGGAAATTCCACGAGGGCCTGAAAGGTTTATAACGGTGCAGGGTGTTCGGGATGTGTGTTATATACGCTATACGAGCTGACGCGCGCTGCGTAAATTTCAGGTTGCGAAATGTTAAAGTGTAAGCAAACGTTCGGATGTTCGACCTGTAGGTCGCCTCCGTGTGCTGGGAGTGCGCCACTAGGCAGGCCATGAAGAAAACCACCAGAACACCCGCCAACCATCTTCCAGCTGGCTCGACGTCGTTCTCGTTTAGCGCCTGGTAAATGCTGACCCCGAGATAACAGGCGACAACGATGCTCAACACGGCCACTTTAAAGACCGACGTTAGGATCTGATACACCGCGCAGGTTACCATCACCAGCATCACCAGAACTGGAAACAACTGCAATCAAGTGATAGTTCGCGATAATAATGCCAGCCTGTGAATTCTTGCAGTTTCGTGAAAATTGTTCTCTAAATCCCGCGGTTATCCCGTGCCAAAAATTCTCTAACCCGAACTTGTGCGAGAACAACGTTCTTCAATTATAGTATAATATAACTTCTAAAATTTAATATATAATATATATAGTCAATTGTTTTGACTGCATAGAATTTAATATATCAATTTTAAATGAATTATATGTTAGGAGACTTGCACAGAGGTTTTCCACCGTTAAGGAACTTTCTTCTTTTTTTTTTAAGTAAGAGAAGGGGAGGCAAATAGTGTCACTTTAAATTTCTCCTTTTTCCTGCGTCTATTTTACCACTCCTCGTTAATAGAAAGACAGTTCTCAAGCATCTAATCAACTTCTGAAAAAGTCATAAAAATCAAAAGCCAAATATAGCTAGCGGAGAAGTTTAAAATTTTGCATTTGTGAAATAAGGTAAAACCTGGATCTTTTTTTGATATTTGGAGTTACATTTTCTTAATTGCTGAATCGCTGAATGAGATCTATTCTATGTTATACGATACCTTTTTTTTCTACTTTGATATAATTCCTATGCTTGTATATTAATTTTATTTCTCTCAGTAAAGTTTTAAAGGAAAAAGTAGCTCCTGGGGCAAATAATGACAATTTTTAGTTGGGTAAATAATGACAAAAAAGCTTTTTTAATATTTGAATATGATATATTTTTCTAATTCAATTGGGATAATATGAGATTAGTTACAAGGCAAGATCCAGATTAATGTGATTTTCAATAAGAAATATTAGCAAATAGTGTTACTACTATTATTTATCAATAAATAAAAATATTATTACATATGGTTATATTTACATATAATAGAGTATAGAAATTAATATAAATAACCTTATCTAACCAAAAATGTGAAAAGAAAGGAGCTAAGAATTATGTATTTTGTAATTGTCCCATAGGGTGTCACTATTTACCCATAGGGTGGGACAAATAGTAACAAGTGTAGGTTTCAGTTTTTATGAAAATCTGGCCCGAATACATAACTTATGGAAACTATAATTAAGTTTTTTGTGTATTTAAAAGTGGAAAGTACTCTTTTAGTGAAAAATCATATCTTGTAAACTTGAAATTAGCCTGTAGGGGAAAGAGGAAAAAATCTATCACTATTTGCTCCCCCCCTTCCCTTACTTCTACACAGTAAAAAACATTTTGTATTTAGGTATGTTAGAAACGGTCCACTCACTTATTTGTTAAAATTTTAAGTCAACATTTTTAACATAGTCCAGTGTTAATTTAACACAATGTGATTATGTTATTTAAATATTTTATGTTAAATTGATATTCAACATTTCTTACATTCAAAATAACAATTTATGAGTAAGTGAACAAATTACTTAAAAATAATGTGTTTTAAAACGTATATTCTAACGTAAATGAATAAAATACATGTTAATTTAACATATCATAAGTCTATAAATGTTAATTTTATTTAAAAAAAAAATGCTTTCACAGCTTTTCTCACAAATTGTGTCAGTAATATATTTTTTGTGTTAATTTTTTAATATAATATTTACGTTATTTTCTAACAAATTCATCTTATGTTAAATTAACACGAAAATTTAAGTGGACATGTTAAATATAACAAATTTTTCAACACTAATTTTTTTATTATTATCCGCGAGTTTTTTACGATATTGCGAATTTGTTCAATAACCAATGTTTTTTTTATTCAATGTCAATGTCACGTTTATATCTAACTTACGTCGCAGAAGAGGATATAATCACAGATGCCGGGGCCATCGATATTCTTCGTCGGTACTCTCATCACGCTGAGATTCTCATCCTGCCATTCCTCAGCGAAAGGCATCGTACTATTGTTGACGCAAGCCTCGCTTCCGGTCAGCGTGATCTGCAGCGAGAAAAAGCGACGTGTTCGGATTCGTTATTTACACTATTTTACTGTGAGAATGCAAAACATTCGCGATCGCTTGCAGCAAATTAAACACACTATCCGTCGTACGACCGGCATTCTTTCCGTCTGTTTGTAATTCAATCGCGAAATTCGTTCGCGGCAACTATTATTCCGCGGCTGATTAATCACAATATCGACGTTCGCGTTCGATTTTACTGTCGAAAGTTCTAGCGCGGCGGACTGTAATTTACGTCGTATAATTTTGGTATAACGAGTTTTTTGAAGCAAATCGGCGAGACTGGTTATTGGATTAAAAAAATGAAAACGGAACAGAGAAGAGAGAAAGCACATGTCGAAAGCTGCGCGAGTAAATCATGCTTGCGAATAAATTATTTGTTCAATATCACGCGTGATTAATGTCTTATAAGGATCAATGAATTTTACATTTCTTGATTTCCCGAATATAAAAATTCTTGAATCATTGAATTTTTTCGTTTAAATGTTAAACGATTGTCTAATTAAATATTTCTAAAGTTTCTAAATTTCGTACTTTCCAATAATTTAAAAAAATAATAAAGTAGTGCAAATTTTTTATCGGAATGACGTTTTGATTTTTTCATTTCCCGAATATAAAAATTCTCGAATTATTGAATTTTTTCGTTTAAATGTTAAATGATTGTCTACTTGAATATTTCCAAAGTTCGTAAATTCCGTGCTTTCCAACAATCCAAAAAATAATAAAAGTAGTGTAAATTTTTTATCACTGCATATATTCGAAATAACGCTTTGCAAAACGTGAAGAAGTTATTGCTGTCGTGATGCACGAGAAGTGTTTAGATAGCAAACTTCAACATGAAAACGTAAACACTGGCCGCATTAAGCTTCGATTACTCTCTTACCAGCGGCGACAGTACCGTGATGAACGTCAGAAACACGACGATGGACGCGATGCTCTGCGCGATGATGCGATTCTCGAAGATCTGTAACGCCATGCTTCTCACCCATTTCGGTACCTTCTGCAAAACACACGCACGATTACCCCGTTCGCTTCTCTCGGCTAATTGAATCGGATAAATGAAGGGCACGCCGCGCCGATCCCCGGGATCATCCGGAGATTAGTGGGCGTGCTGTGACCAGGACCGTTGGTTTCGGCAGTGACCTGGAAGCTTGCCACTTGGTCAGGGTCAAACGGAAGTGGCACTCTTCCAGAGAGTTTTATCATCGATCGCGACGTCGCGCGTGACGTATCGCGCGATTCATTTAAATCGCGCGGGTTTTTAAATGCAGTCGAACCTCGACAACTCGAATCTCAAAGGAAGAGAAAAATCCTTCGAGTTATAGAATTTTCGACTTATCGAAATTTGATTAAAAGAAGGTTAATATGAAAATTTGACTTACGGAGGCTTCACAAGAGTTTATAATTTTCCAATTATAATGGATTTTAAAGAAAAAGAAATCAATATTTGACACAGTGATTATTTATTGCATACATATAACAAATGTAATCATAAAACAAAATATCAAGTTATAACTTATGGTTACACATAGCTACAACTTCAAATTATAGAGGCAGCGATAATAGAAGTTCAACTTATAGAGGTAAACTTCGACTTGTAGAGATCTGGCTACTTTAAATTCGAGTTGCAGAGTAAAATAATACAGTCGAACCTCGATAACTCGAATCTCAAGGGAAGAGAAAAAACCTTCGAGTTGTAAAGTATTCAACTTATCAAAATTCGATTAAAAACGGGTTAACATATGAAAATTTGACTTACGGAGGCTTTACAAGAGTTTATAACTTTCCAATTATAATGGATTTTAAAGAAAAAGAAATCAATATTTGACACAGTGATTATTTATTGCATACATATAACAAATGTAATCATAAAACAAAATACCAAGCTATTATGATTACACGTGATTACTCATGATTACACACGATTACTCATGATTACACATAGGGTAAGTGTCCCTATTAG